ACACAGGCTTTATGCCACACAGGCTTTATGCCACACAGGCTTTATGCCACACAGGCTTTATGCCACACAGGCTTTATGCCACACAGGCTTTATGCCACACAGGCTTTATGCCACACAGGCTTTATGCCACAAAGGCTTTATGCCACACAGGCTTTATGCCACACAGGCTTTATGCCACAAAGGCTTTATGCCACACAGGCTTTATGCCACACAGGCTTTATGCACACACACAGGCTTTATGCCACATAGGCTTTATGCCACACAGGCTTTATGCACACACACAGGCTTTATGCACACAGGCTTTATGCCACACAGGCTTTATGCCACACAGGCTTGAACTAAAATCTGACGCCATGCACACAGGCTTTATACCACACAGGCTCTATGCTACACAGTCCTGAACTAAAATCCTACGCCACACAGATTTTATGCCACACAGGCTCTATGCGGCTATGCCACACAGGCTTGAACAAAATCTTATGCCACACAGGCTTGAACTAGAATCCTCTGCCACACAGGCTCTATGCGGCCACACAGGCTTGAACTAGAATCTCTTGCCACACAGGCTTGAACGTACTAGAATCCTATGCCACACAGGCGTGACTAATGATCGAATGCCACAATTGGGCGGCAGCGAGAACTATAAAAACTACAGTTACACACAAAGTGGAGCTATAAATGTGCCGCCATATGCCCCACACAGACGATAACTATAATCTTTTCTACCGACGTGCCACCTATAGTACAAACATAAAGTAAAACTTCGCACCAGTAAAGCTAAGTACATAAACTGAACAATAAGCAAACCCGAAGCATTTTATGCCTGCTACACATGAGGGCTTTAACCTAACACAATACCAGACTTAATAACGATACCCAGACTTAATAACGATGAAGTTCTTCCACAATACCAGTGAGTCACAGATACCCTACACATAACGTAAGTGGGGAAACAAAACTCGTCCGAACAAGTAAAATATATGGAGACAAAGCACAAAAGCAAATAGCACTTAACAAATCACCACTAAATCCAGCGTCCGAGCAGGACCAGCGGCGTCTGGATCAACATGAACTTGTTAAGGACGACAGCCAAGATTCGATTGAACAACTTCTGGCGGCAACACAGGAACCGGCGCCCAAACAATTCGCTGAGCCAGAAAGCACGAGCAGCGAAAGGGTGGTTATAAAATATCTCTTTACTCCAACACTTCTCCTCGTGGCGTCAGCACAAAGCTGTATTACAAAAAATTCTACCTTTTCGGTATTTCCCGCCATTAATTATTCAATAAACATACCCCTAATGTATATTTTAACACTTATAAATAACCAGTTCCCGTGGAACATTTTGCCAGTTTGAATAGTACTGAAGTTTAGTCTGGGTTAAATCAATCAACGGGCAATTTTAGAGCTTGAAAGAAACATCGTTGTTCCGAGGCCGCCACACAGCTTATGATTCAGCATTATGAAGCAAATGAAATTGTACCTGTAGTGTAGCCTGCGAACAGGCTCTCAAGCTGAATTGAGAGCCTGCATCGATGACTAATGAATTTGAATATCTGCGTCTCAAATCGTGACGCGAAATTCTCATTGGTCAGATGCTATAATTTATATGTTTCCGCTGAGCTCTATATATGCCAACTGCTAGCGCTATGCATAAAAAAAACATTAACTGATCAAATTGGTCTTGGCCATCTTATCTCAAAGCACGAAATGTTCTGTTTTGAGAAAACAGTATTTAAAACATTTAAACTTTGCTTCAATATCTTATATTTCGAAAAACAGTATAAACTGTACGGTCTAAATTTAGTTTGCATGGTCTAAATTTAGTTTGCACGAAAGTTGTAAACAACACCATATAAGGATAGACATTCCATATTTGGAAAAACGAACGTTACGGGGCAGATATTCAAATTCATTAGTCACCGATGCAGGCTCTCAATTCAGCTTGAGAGCCTGTTCGCAGGCTACCTGTAGTGTTGTATGAGTTATGTATTATACACTGTAAGCCACTGAATTACTTATAATAATGATGTTGTACTTAAGTCTTGATGCGATTTTACAAGTCTATATTAATGTTTAATATTCTTGCTTACCATTTTTTAAAAATCATCTGACAATTCACAGGTTGGTAAAACAAGGTCATACAGTAATAGGAATTGAAATTATACAAAAAGCGATTGACGATTTCTTTAAAGAAAACAACATTGCGCACGTGAAAAATACAATTGATGGAAATGGCCACTGTTACATGGTAAATTTAAGTACTTAATAATTATATAAATTTAATATGCTTATTTATGTTGTAGACATTGTACAGTTTTTTTTTGCACTCAACACCACTGATCTAAAATAAGGCTGGACAACGCATCTATAGTAAGCAAAAGTGAAGCCGGAATACAAGAAGAATTTTGAGGGGAAAATTTGGAGTATTATGTACTTTATAACGCCGCGAAACGGGATTTACAACTTTGAAGGAGTGGAGAGCCTCAGACTTTGTTTATCAACACGAGCTCGTTTTGCTACTTTCATACAAGGATTATTGTTACTCCCTACAGTTGACTCTATTTCCCCAAATCTCTGCAGTACAGGCCTATTAATGCAGATTGTGCATTCGTTTCTACTTGGAGGCAATATCTAACATCAGTGCAATATTTAGAACTCGGTTTGATGTCACTGTTGCCATGTTAGAACTCGGTTTTCATGTCACTTTTGCCATGGCAACATGGCGAAGCTATAAAACCGGCTTATTTTAGCCACAAAATTGTCTTTATCTGAAAAATAAATCTGCTGACCTATCTTTTTTATTTCATATATCAATAGAGCATGATCCCCTGCAACTATTGAGAAAATTTAATAACAAGAGTGCGATTTTTTTAAAAGCGAAAATTTTATAACAAGATTTCCACTCTAAGGAATTTTTTAAAATTTGAAATATATAAAATTTACTAAATTTAAAATTTGTAGTCAAAATTTTAGGGTAGGTTACCGATGAAAATAGTGAGTAAAATGCAATTCAAGTTGTAAAAAACCCTCGTGTAATTCGAGAAATTCCCTTATTTAAAAGCGTCGCTCACTAGTAAAATATTGTACGCGGGCGCAGAACGAGCTTTCATCCAGCCAAATCGAGTGGCAATGTTGTTTTTATTGTTTTGTTTTTGTCAACTTTCCGATTTGTTTGAGTGCCATGGACAGCCAAGGAATATTGTGAAGGAGCAAACCGATGAAAGCACAAAACCTCTATAAGGTTGAAGCTAATTGAACCCTGCCGTTTACTCAATCTATGAGCTGTACGTAACAGCCAAACAGGTGGACGTGTTTTTTTGTTTGGTTTTGCACTTTTTGCTAAAAATGAAAAATTAGGCTATGAAACTGTGATGAATATTGAGCTTTATACATGATTCAGGTTAAATACAATAATTAACCTAGCTTTATATAAAATGTACATACATGTTCTAATAATTGTATTTTGCTTCATACAATGCATATGTGTGTGGAAACATTACATTATTATTTAGCTCACACTCATTGGGGCTTTTCAGTGACCGATTACATCAGGTATTATGATCACTTATGTTAGCCTAGACTATTTATCTTTACAACAATGAAAATATGATATTACTTTCCTTACTGTGTTTATCCTAACCCACGCTGCCAATTTTGCCTAGCTGTGGGAGGAAACCGGAGCAAAATATAAAATTCAACTACTTTGAAAACACCTAAATTGCAATCTCTAAAATTTAAGTTTTTTTCTTAAATCGCATTAAATCGCAGTGCTTGAAAGTCCCAGTTTTTCCTTAAATCGCCTAAAATCGCATTTATTTATCTCACGGCGATTTAAGGCGATTTACCGCCCCAGAGTAGGCCTTCGATAGAACGTCAGCGAAACGCACGATATATTCACTGAAGAGTGATCAAACAATCCAAAATTTCCAAAAGGATATTAATAACATACTGACCGAGAGTGAGGGTGTAGCTAACCCGCGTTATCTTTAATTCAAAATTCGCTCTAAATCATAGATTTGATACGTATAACTCAACTCCTTTTTCTCCCGTCTCAATTCAGCGATACGCAATAAAATTTCTTCGACAATAATTCAATATTAAATCTTTATACGAATAGTATAGCAATAGGAATAGGTTTTCTATAATAAATACAGATATAAACAAGAAATTACTTATATATCTTATACATAACATAATATTAAAGTAACAAAGAAAGTCCTTACCGACTGTATCAAACTAATTCACGTCTTTAACAATCAATCTTTCGCTCGCAATAAGTCACTGACAGTCAAATTCGTCTTCGCTCGCAGTCAAGAGCAAAAATATCAATCCCAAGAAACACGCCCCCAACCCCGCTTATAGTTTTCTTAATTATGTAATATTGTTAATATCTAATGGTAGCTACACCGGCCCCTAAATGAACGTTAAGATTCATTTACTACACAACTTAAATAGCTACCGTTATGATAATAGTTTACTTCCCTGCTAGTTCAAATGTTGTCCATCTCCAGACGACACAGCTTCGTGATCGGGCGTTCCAACATAGCAGTTGTTGTCTTCACTTCTCCTCGACGCTTCCGTTTCGCATGGGTCACTACTGTCGAACACGTCTTTATCTTGGCACTACGAACCATTCCATCATTTCCTTTCATCACTTCTACCACTCGAGCTAACGGCCATTGCCCTCTCGGATAATTCTCATCGGCCAAAAGTACGACGTCATCGATCTTTAGATTATCCCGAAGTTCGTTCCATTTTTGTCGCCTTTGTAACGACGGAAGGTACTCCTTGATCCATCTTTTCCAAAACATATTGGTTAGAAATTGCGCTTGTCTCCACTGACGCCGCGTATTCTTGTCATCGTTCCCAAACACGCCGGGGTAAAGAAGGACAAGGTCGTAGATGTAGCTAGAAGGTGATTTGGTGTCAGGGGTCCGAATCTCTTGGGTCGTCACTGTTTCTTGTAAGTGGTCTACCGTTGAGTATATTCGCAACTTCGGCAATGATTGTGGAAAGCACCTCGTCACAACGTACAATTTGCTCCTTCAACAACGCTCTTAAGATCTGACGCACGGACCTGATCATCCTTTCCCACGCTCCTCCCATATGGCTTGCTCCTGGGGGATTAAATACCCAATTAATCCCTCTTTGTGTACAGAAATTCTCGATGTTTGAGTGATTCCACTCGTCTATATGCTGGCTTTTAATTCTTTATCAGCTTTCTTAAAGTTGGTACCATCACTACGGATGTCTCGTGGACATCCCCGTACACTTACAAATCTTCTCAACGTATTAAGTATCCAGTCCGTGTTGAGAGAATGTGCAATCTCGATATGTAGCGCACGAGTGTTCAAGCACGTAAATATGCAACCATAACGTTTAACATGACATCTTCCCTGTTTTACTTCAATTGGACCGAAATAATCGACGCCAACCGACGTAAACGGTGGTTCATAAGCTGTCACTCTATCACGTGGCAAGTCTGCCATAAACTGCTCACATGTCGGCTTCTTGTTCTTTTGGCAATCCACACAGGAACGTATAACGCGTCTCGCAGCTGCTCTCCCCTTCGAGACCCAAAATTTCTCTCTAAGACCTGCTAGAACAGATTCTTGTCCCATGTGTCCAACTACTGTGTGATAATGTCTTATTATCAGGTCAGTCATATGATACTTGTTTGGTAGAACCATTGGATGCTTTGCTTCTTCACTGATGTTCGCGACAATTATCAATCCGTCTTGTAACGTTGGGTTGAGCTGGTATAGAGAGCTCCCAATGTTGTGCAGATTTCGCTTGATATGTCCGTTACCCGCTTTGGATCCTCCTTCTTGCAGCGCGGTGATGATCTCAGGGAATGACGTGTGTTGTACGTAACGAACAACATTTCGCTCTGCTGTCTTCAGCTCGTCAACTTTCAAATTCCCAACTTTCAATTCCGCCTAGCTTTCCTGCCACTGGAAACTCACTGTTTTTATTGGAAACCTTCATCCTCAAATAATCTTTAAATCTCGATAGCCAAGCGAATGCTCTCACCAATCCACACCAAGTCGAGTATCTTTGAACTAAAGACTCCAGGATTCTTTCACTAGTTGCGGTGGTGTATAAACAGTTGCACCCTGTCTCACTTCAGGATCGTCATCGCTTAAATTTGGTACTTCAACACTAGCGGGCCATTCACTTTCACTCTTCCATAGAAACGTCGAACCCTTTAACCACCTTTCCTATTGCAGCAACGCATCCAATTTCAGCCCTCTAGAAGCATCATCCGCGGGATTCTCTTCACTTTTAACATATTTCCACTCTGAGACGTTTGATCCGTTATGAATGATAGTAAGGCGATTGGACTCGAATTTAATTGGACTATATTTATAGCAAAGTTAAATATTGGCTATTGTTCAAGTAAATTTAGAATTGTTGGTGCTTATGCTGTACTTGAGTGAGAAAACGATACAAAATTTCACGTATTTGCCATTAAACACATGCAAGGCTAACACATAAAACGATTTTGTTTTAAAGTTGACCCCCCGTCACTTTTGTGACGTCATATGAAACCCAAGAATAGAGTCACAGATACATAGTACGGCAAAATATAGTAAACGAAAAATATAGTACATGCAGCAAATTAAAAGCCTCGAGCGAAACTTTGTTTGCACGTTTACAAAACTAGCAAAACTCCTATATTTGATATTATATAATATCTTATTGAATTCTGATCGTTTAATTGGCTGTTTATGGTCACGTGATGTTGAATAGAAAATTTTATTTCCCAAGAGTGCAATGGAATACGTTCCATTCCACTCTTCGCGAGTACAATTGTACTATACGTTTTATTCCATTGCACTCTTTATGTTTTCGATAAATCGCATCCGTCAAAATGCTTCTCATACGAATCTATTAGTCTATTTTGGTATTATATAAAATAAATAATGAATGTTTATGAGTGCAATGGAAAGAATATTTTCATTCGGTGAAAGATGGAATGTTAGATTCAACTCGGCTGTCGCCTCGTTCAATGTAACATTCCATCTTTCACCGAATGAAAATATTCTTACCATTGCACTCATAAACATTCATTATTTGTATATCATATACCGCATTACATAATATAATTATTTACCCTTGCCCATGCGAAAAATGATTTAAAAGAACAACAATATAAGTAAAAAGTAAAGATCGTAACAACCCATCACCCCGAATTGCGAAACACGTGAATTTATAGAGAAACACGTGAATTTATAGAGAAACACGTGAATTGCTTCATAGCTCGTATTCCAGCGTGTTCCTGGCGGGGTTCCGGGTGTTCCGGGTGGGTTCCGTATGTTTCGGGTGGGGTTCCGGCTTTTACAGACACCAGACTTTATTTAAGTTTGCATCGACTTTATTTAAGTTTGCACCGACTTTATTTACGTTTGCACCAACTTTATTTAAGTTTGCATCGACTTTATTAAAGTTTGCACCGACTTTATTTAAGTTTGCATCGACTTTATTTAAGTTTGCATCGACTTTATTTAAGTTTGCACCGACTTTATTTACGTTTGCACCAACTTTATTTAAGTTTGCACCGACTTTATTTAAGCTTGCACCGACTTTATTTAAGTTTGCATCGACTTTATTTAAGTTTGCACCGACTTTATTTAAGTTTGCACCGACTTTATTTACGTTTGCACCAACTTTATTTAAGTTTGCACCAACTTTATTTAAGTTTGCACCGACTTTATTTAAGTTTGCACCGACTTTGTTTAAGTTTGCACCGACTTTGTTTAAGTTTGCATGTCCCTTGTGGGCCATCGTACTTTCGTCATTTGCAATATCATTAAATAGTTTAGTAGTTAGGATTTGTCTTCTATTAAATAATGAGTCAACTCCCGCTTCTACCAAAGCTTCTGCATAAGGTAACGTTGGGAAGATTATATGAAGGGCTCGCTTCTGTAACTTCTCCAGATCTTCGCATAGGTAATTGGGTAAGGAGTCGTGGAAAACGGGACAAGCATATTCCATCACAGGACGCACACAGGTCAGGTAAAATGTTAGTAAATCCTTTCTACAGATTTTTGTTCTTTTTAGTTGACAAAGAAAGAAGAGTCTTGTTGAAACTTTCTTTACAATCTCTGAGATGTGGGTATTCCATTTAAGGTCGTTCGTAATTCGCATGCCCAATATCTTTGCGGAAGGGACAACTTCGATTGGTTTATTATTAACATACACGGGTGTAAACGTATACGCCCGGGTCTTGCAAAGGTAATTTGAAGCTCTTTGCATTTCTCTTCGTTTAACTGAAATTTATTTGCAGTTGATTTCCTTATAAACTCGTCTACCTGAGATTGGATGCTGCTGGTTTCATGTTTAAGGACAATCTCGGAGATTGTATAGTATCGTCCACATACTTCCATAAATCTATATCCGCTACTTTTAGGTCATTTATCATTATAGCAAATAGCCAAGGACCCAATTTAGTCCCTTGAGGGACGCCTGCCGGAACCAAACCCCATTCGGAGTGACAATCTTGGCTTAACTTGACGCGCTGTTTACGGTCTTTGAGAAAATTAACGATCCACCCAATTATTCGCTTTGGTATTTCAAAGGTAGTAAGCTTGTCTACGATAATATTTCAACAAGTATGATTTGATTAGGCCAATTGTGACGTCAGAGTCACGGATATAAGATGGCAAGCAATCAGAGGGCAAGCAATTATATGTTCTAGGAGCTCTATTAAAATAGCTATTTTGAAAAGTTAAAGTGTTTATTCTAGGAACGTTAGTTAATTAAAATATTTTTAGTTGAATTGTATCTCGTGACACGACCACTAGACTTCACAACAATGTTTGGATCATTTAACTTCAGAGCTTTGAAGAAATATACCAAATCCAGGTACTCGTGCCAGTAGCACAAAGGAAGTAACCCTGTTAATAGCAGCCGATCTTAACTTTATAACTGGTTTCAGACTGAAACGGTAAGGATAATATAAAACTTGTTGCACGCCGTTGTACTTTCTCGAGATCGAGGATAAGTGCTACAGATTGTGGTGACCAGACTTGTGAGCTATACACGAAGTGACTTCAAACTACTGTTTTATACAGTGCGGTTCTTATACGTGGATCGCGTATGTCGGCTGAAGTCCTTATGAATCCCAGCATTCTGTTGGCCTTTGTACATACAGCATTAATTTGTTTCCTCCATTTGAAATCTCCAGTAATTAAAACGCCGAGATCTCTTTTTACAACTAGTTTCTTGCTCAGTGAGGTGCTAGTATAATTATCATTGATCAAAGATAGGATGCCACTGAACAGAATTTACATTTCTTGTCACTGAGAACACCACATTTTGACTGATTTAGGGTCATACGCCATACTTGACACCACTTGTTGATTCTATCAAAATCGCACTGGAGATCCCTAAAGTCCTGGACTTTACTTATTGCACGATAACACTTGGTTTCATCAGCAAACAGGGCTACGGACGATGTCGTGGTCTGTTGAGGTAAGTCATGTTAAGAACTGGTACTTCATTTTAGGCTATTATAATGATCACACTTATGTATAGCTATATGATTGGTCGGAGCAGTCATGTGATATTGGTGGCGTGTTCGTGGGCTTTGAACTCTGTGTGCTCACTCTCTTATCGTTTCATATTTCGTACAGTAAAGTTGTTTTGTTGGATACATAATAAATATGATTACTTAAAGCTAATTACAAATACAATATTCGATCATTATCATAATGTCAATAGGTTATGGGCCCAGGACGAAAAATGTCCTTTAATAAATCGAATGTTAGTTACTGAAACGATATTATAGCATGGCCTCGTCGGATGCTTTGAGTACGCTGAAATTTGCGAAGTTGAACGGTAGGAATTACCAATCATGGACCTTCAATATGCGGTTATATCTGGAGATCATGGACCTGTTTCAGTATGCACTAGTGCTGAATCTCTGAATAGTGCACGAAAGAACATTCTGAAGACGCATTTTCGGTACAAAGAGGAAAATTTCGAAATACCAGACAACATGGAAACACTGATAATCGAAGTAAATATTTGCAGAGTGGAAACCAGTGGCGTAACGTTATATCAGGGGGCCCCCGGTTCAAAGTTTTCGAAGGCCCCCCTAGTAGAAGTGCCAAAGGCACGAGTCGAGCACCGTATATGCACAAGTTTTCTAGGGGGTCCAGGGCATGGTCATCCGGAAAATTTTTGAATCTAGACTCCCTGAAATGCCATTTCCTGGACTTTGGGGAGAGATTTTACAGAATTCTGATGGTCATAAAACGACATTGTAACATATCTGAGGCCCTGGCCAATGCTTTTGCCCTATCACCTAAGCCTAGGGGCCCCCATTTGGGTTGGGGGCCCCCGGGTTCACCCGGTCTGAGCCCATAGTAGTTACGCCACTGGTGGAAACACTGAGAATCGAAGTAAATTCTTTCAGGGTAAATGTCAAATTGCCAAGAGAAAGGGCACTATGCCAGAGACTGTCCGAAGAAAAAGACGAAGAATGAATCAAGCAAAACTACTAAAAGTAATCAAACGGCCCGTTGTGCGAAAGAACAAGGTTCAGAGTCATTTCATGACGACGAAGCATTGACCTCAAGCTCGTTGAATGTCTGTGGTAAATCTGACTGGATAATTGATTCGGGAGCAACTCAACATATGACATTTGAACAAGATGCTTTAGTGGACTATGTCGAGTTTAAGCAACCCTGTTGTTGATGATCACATCCAAAATATATCCTTGCGTGATGTACTGTACTTGCCCGACTTGGATAAAAACTTGTTATCGGTGCGTGCAATGATAAAGCTTGGAGCTGTTGTTTCATTTGAGGATGATATTTGCAAAGTTTCACGGAATTAACTCGAAACTTTTGGCTGTTGGTGAAATTCAAGGAAAACTTAACGTTTTGAAGATCATGGAAGAACATGTGAATGTTGCTAGTGAAGAATCTGATTTGTATTTATGGCACTGTAGATATGGTCACTTAGGAATGGATAATGTTGTTAAGCTTGCTAATGGAGATATGGTTAAAGGAATGGATCATGTGGCAGGTGAAAAGAACTGTTTTTGTGAAGCATGTGTTATGGGAAAACAGCATCGATGTCCCTATCCAAAAGGTGTGTCTTATCGTGCTAAAGAACCATTTGAACTCATTCATAGTGATGTGTGTGGACCCATGTCTGAAAGTTCACTTGGTGGATCTCGCTATTATGTTACCTTCATCGATGACTTTTCGAGATACTGTACACTTATGTTTATTTCCTGAAGAATAAAAGTGAGGTGTTGGAAAAGTTTAAGGACTTCCACAATTATGCGGTGAATGTTACTGGGAAAAGAATTAAAGTTATTCGTACAGACAATGGTGGAGTATATTGCTCAAGGGAATTTGAATTGTTTTTGAAGGAAAATGGAATTCTTCATCAACTAACTGTGCCATATAACCCGGCACAAAACGGTGTTGCAGAGCGGATGAATCGCACTATTATGGAATCTGCTCGAGCTATGTTGTGTCATTCACTTTTACCAGATAAGTTATGGGCTGAAGCGGTGAACACTTCAGTTTATATTCGTAATAGGAGCCCTACAGCTGCCTTGGATGGTATTACTCCATACGAGTGTTTGTTCAAGCAGAAACCGGATGTTACAAATTTACGTGTATTTGGTTGCGTTGCTATGTGCACATTCCTGATGGTCAGCGCAGAAAGCTGGATGCGAAGTCGAGAAAATTAATTTTTGTTGGATATCCTGAAGGAACAAAGGGGTACAAATTTTATGAGCCAAGTTCTCGAAAGTTCATACGAAGTCGTGATGTTGTTTTCCTGGAGAAGGAATTTCATGACTTTGGGTGTAAACAGTCTGCATCGTGTCTTGATTATGATGATGACAAGGATGTTCCTGTTGTTATTAATCAGCAATAATAAAATAATAAAAATCAGCAATCGGAAAGAGATTTGATGTTGAAGATTTGGGAGAGCTGCATTATGTTCTTGGAATGAGTGTCAAGCGAAATCGTAGACTACGTACATTGTCGATAAGTCAGAAGACGTATTTACAAGGCGTTCTCAAGCGATTTGACATGGAAAACTGCAAATCTGGTCAACACCATTAGAGTTTGGAAGAAGTATGAAGCCCTATCTGAAGAAGAGAATCCTGTTGATGTGAATTTAAACACCCAAATTGCTATTGACCTGATCTAGCTGTTGCCATCGGTGTTCTATCAAAGTTCATGGCAGATCCTGGACTAGAACATTGGAAAGGAGTTAAGAGAGTCTTACGTTATATACAAGGCACATTAGACTATGGTCTCAGCCTCTCAGGTACACTTCTGATGGTAAAGAACCTATTTTAATTAACTGATTATTCTGACGCTGACTGGGGAGGAGATTTGACTACACGTAGATCAACCACAGGATACGTCTTTCAAATACAAGGAAATACAGTAAGCTGGTGTAGCAAGTTACAAGGTTGTGTGTCAAAGTCAACTACCGAAGCTGAATATGTTGCGCTAAGCACAGTTTGCCAAGAAGGAGTTTGGTTGAGAAGATTGCTTGATGGTATTTCTGTTAAACAGTGTAATCCTACTGTTCTATTTGAAGATAATCAAGGAGCTATTGAGTTGTCGAGAAATCCAAAGTTTCATGCTCGCACAAAGCACATTGATGTTTCGTATCATTATGTGAGAGAAAAAGTAAATCAGAACATTGTTTCTGTGGTGTACTGTGCAAGCAAGGTCATGTTAGCAGATGTTATGACTAAGGGATTGTCTAAGGTTCAATTTCAGAAATTCAGAGACATGTTGGGAGTTTTTGAAATCAAAGAATGACTGTTGCTGAACATTTTGAACTTTAAAGTTAATTTGTTAATTTGTTAATGGTGTAATCATTAAGTGGGAGTGTTAAGAACTGGTACTTCATTTTAGGCTATTATAATGATCGCACTTATGTATAGCTATATGATTGGTCGGAGCAGTCATGTGATATTGGTGGCGTGTTCGTGGGCTTTGAACTCTGTGTGTTCGCTCTCTTATCGTTTCATATTTCGTACAGTAAAGTTGTTTTGTTGGATACATAATAAATATGATTAATTAAAGCTAATTACAAATACAATATTCGATCATTATCATAATCTCAATAAGTCATTCACGTACATAAGAAACAAAAGAGGTCCAAGTATTGAGCCTTGGGGAACACCTGATAGTATGGGGATTGGACACGATGTCTGAAACCAATTAAGCAGGTTTCCACAAATTCCAAAGTTACTTCGTTTTTGAGGTAGAAGCTTATGATCAACTTTGTCAAAAGCTTTTGAGAAATCAAGATAAAGAATATTAGTTTGGATTCTTTGGTCTATATAAACCTTTATACATAACTTACAAACATCATGGCCGCCACGCATTTCCCGCTCCACCGTCCGAACAGTCCTGGATACTACATCCCTCCAAAACTTTTATAAGTTAATCCTACACTATTTATCTAAAAAAACACCGACATAACTGACCTTAAACTAACTATAACATCGAACCATTCAGTTTATTGTATTTATAATTTAGCTGTGTTTTTTTTCCTACCGCTTTACTCATGACTTGTATTGATGAATCCTTGTTCCTATTCGCTTATATCAGTAATCTCTTCCCATCTCGCACTCTTCGTGCCATCTTGGGGCTCTTCTCTGTCGTAAAAGTAGGGCCTTCGCTCGAAACGTCGAGTTTCTGCTTATTTTTTAAGGTAGTAATATAACCACTCAGCACAGCACCTTGCACTTGTCCGTTTCCACCCTCGTATACCTCTTGCTGTATATCTGCCTCTACATCCTGTCTCCTAGCCCTGTCATCTTGTCGCTGTTCTACTGCTTCCTCTGCCTCACCAACCAAATTATCGACTGCTTCGTCTGCCTCGCCGACCAAATTATCATCCTGTTCTTTTGCATGGATCTCTTCCTCTCCTCCCAACTGCTCTGGATGTATTATGTCGCTCTGGAATAGATCACACTCATCACATGTTCCATTCGTTTTAATACCACCGCTACCACATTCATTGCTAGGTACTTTGAGCAGTTTAAAGAATGACGAATTTCCAGTAATAACGTGTCTTGGATTAACTCTTGAGGCGGTAATCATTGTGCCTTTTGTCGCTGTCACTGTATGTGGTTTATAATCATATTCTGGCTGCAACTTTCCTTTTCTTCGTTCATTACGCACCAGGACCAGATCACCAACTTTAAGGTTAGACGATTTAACATAAGACGTTCGATCTGCATACTGCTTGGCTTTCAATTTCTTTTCCGCATCTCTTTCACGTACCTCGTTATCGGTGTCATGTGACTGCGGTGACAGCTCTGGCAAGCGTACTCGATACGGTCGTGTTTGGAACGGTAGCTCAGTCGGACTTTTACCTGTTGTGGCCTGGTGTGTGGCGTTGCTCTGTAATTCCGAAGGAATTTAAAGAGTTCCTGTTTGCAACATTCCCGCTCAATCGAAGAAGTACGCACTACCTTGTTTATCATTCTGTTAAAATTTTGGACCAATCCATTAGCTTGTGGGTGGAGAGGGGCAATAATGTTATGTTGAATTCCCATAAATTCACAGTAATCGCTAAAGGTTTTCGAGTTAAATGGAGGCCCATTGTCCCTTTTCAGCTGAATTGGAATACCATAGGACGAGAAAATGCGGTCCAGCTTTGGAATTGTTGCTTTAGCCGATGTTGATGTTGTAAATTCGATCTCAGGACCTTGACACATAATCTCACGATGGTAGCTGTTCATAGTAGTCAACTGCTAAGCTTTCCCACGGACCATTTGGAAGCTGTGTAGACTTTACTGGAACCTGTGATGGCGTATTCACAGCGTATTCACACTGATTAATAATTCATGAGGAAAACGCAAAGAAATATCATAAACGTGTCGTATCTTTATACATATGTGATATATTCAAAGGTTTCCAAGGTTATTGAAGTCAATGTGGATGCCGACTCGTGAAGACGTTAAGTAACACTATTACTAGGTTACCCACAGGGCAGTAATGCTGCCTTCGACAGCAAAAGACAAACTACAGGGTGTTGAACGAGTCCTTCAGAAACATCCTATTATTGTTATCCTTGCAGGTTAACCCATTTATTGACAGTACCCTACCACTGACTGAGTATTAAAAATCGTCTGGCGTTGGACAGGGTATAACGTAAATACTAAAGTAGGGGTCATTACTGTGCTGATGGATTAACAAGAGACATTGGCAGATAGGTTTGTTAACCCATTTACTGGCATTACCCTATACCACTGACGAGTAAAATCTTCTGGCGCTGGACAAGGGAAGGGCGCATTGCCAGCTAATGGGTTAAACCACCGTGGTTAAACATAAGATTTGTTGCTCCAGGAAATGTAAACAAGCTATCAGTGAAACATCCCAGTTTATATATTTATATACTCGGAATATTGATTTCTCGGTATATACAAAATTATTTTAAAGTATAACAACCAGCGAAGAAGTAAGCCACTAACTACCCTGCGCGGCTGCGCGCAGATTATATAATGACATATATATGTCATCCGTCCGGTCCGTCCGTCCATCCGTATCCACGTTTTATCTTACCCGTTTTTAAAACACAAATTAAGGCAGTGCGGTTCGTCATGATCAACATTTTCAAAAGCGGCCAATTAGACCAGGGGTTAAAGGTCAATGACATGCAAGTGACATTTAACATTGCGTCTCACTAATTCAAAGAAAGCAAAAATATATACAAGACAATCTCACATGTGGAATTTGTTCACTTACGTACTGCCTTGTTATGCAGTACAAGTATAAATACAAATGACAAAGCATTTGTAAATCCTAAAACATAATTAAATCATACGGCACATTCAAGATTTTATTAAATATCGTATTTCAGCCGCGTTTATACTGCTTGGCGCATTCGCTGCGTTATATTCATTTATACACACAGAAAAGCATCAAGCATGTCATTGTCCTTGCAGACCATAGGCAAAAAGCATTTGACAACCACATACCAAATTTAAGCAATCGTTAAATCATAGACATGTCATGGAAAGAATATGGAAATAATGTTGAATGAAAGCTAGCATCGCGTATAATGTTAAAAGCACCGCATATAGTGCTCGAACCACTGCGTATATTAATTAATAATAATAATAATAAACTTTATTTAAAAACCAGTTTAGCAACGCTAATCTTACACTGGGCCTTCTTCCTAATTGCAAAAGCAACGCGTATATAAATGGTGAAAGCACCGCGTATAATGCTGGAACCCCCGCGTATAATGCGGGAACCACCGCGTATAGTGGCGAAAGCACCGTGTATAATGCCGAAAGCACCATGCACCGTATAATGCTCAAAGCACCCAACAAAATGCCGTTTGATCACTTTAAGCCAGCTATGGCTTTCCATAAAAGAAGACCAAAGATGAAAGATGATCACATCATGACGACCCGCACGCCTATAAATTGAATTATCTTGAAGGTGTTAGTTACCACAGCATTATTAGTCGAGGCATAGTTAATGGAGCAAGATGGTTTGGAAGCTTCCCCTATTTTGCGATGACGTAATTATTATGTTAACCGATTAAATTCTAAGGTCACGTGACGACGAAAGACTACAATCGAAAAAGCGCCAAAATATGATAATATAATATCGTAGTAATTTGATACACGAATGCCCAATTGCGCTTTTTACAATTGTTTTCACAGTAGGCGGTACAAAAACGTGAGTTTGTTTCAAATTCCAGTTCCTCGTAATTCAGACAGCGAATTTACTTTTCATCGTAAGAAAGAAGCACGAAACGGTTGGATTAACGCGATATTACGAACGAGACAGTTGGACGCTAACTTGAAGACACAGATCGAAAACAACAATATACATATTTGTGAGAGTCATTTTAAAGAGGAGTACATTGAAAACTTTTCCAAAAGTAAGTCCCTCCAAACTGGTTCAATTCCAACAGAAAATCTCCCCGTCAAAAGCTTCGATCATCTTAGCACAAGCTTCACTAGTGCGCCGAGAAAAGAACCAGCTCCAAGGCATGTTTCTCAAGAAACTACAATTATATATGCCTCTCTTGATAAGTTCGATGCATATTTGAAAAAAGCTGGAAGGTATCCATATTTTCAAGGTTGGAATTGGTTCAAAGAAGGGAATAACACTGTTATTGAGTTTAAAGAAAGTGAGTACTTGATTGCAAAGTTTTCTGTACGTGTCGAATCTACTCTTAATTATACTGTTCTTGTTTATGGCTGGGCATTGCCCAATGATCATCCCATATACGTTTCAAACGAGCGTTCTTTGCAGTGCTGTAATTTTAAGACGCTTTGTAACGAAATTGTATCTCTGGGTATTTGCAAAGGAACTCTATTTCCCCTGAAGTCAGGCAAATCAGTGAAAACACAACTTGTTCCCCTGTTACCAAATGACTCTTCTCCACAATATCGTACAGTTGAATACTGTCGTGCGCTTTCATGTCGTGTTCTGGTTTCATCCATACTAAGTGACAGTAAACAATTGCAATGCGAATCGTGCAGTCGAGAATCAAACAGCAATGTAGGTAACTTCAATGTGGCTTCTGTTAAGTGTAAAACACCGCTGTCATGCCTTTCCAAAGAACAACAAATTGCAACTGTAAAAGACACAAGGGTGAATTTGAAAGAAGCCAAGCTGAAGTGTGCACAACTCGAAAGGAGAGTACAACGAATGGAAAATGAGATCAAACATCATGGTATTAGAATAGAAACTGGTTTGGAGAAAGAACTTACAAGTATCATCACTAACACATCATTAGAAGCAACTCCACACATGAAACTTGTATGGGAACAACAGAAGAAAGCACTGAATCAACAATCAAACTTTGGTAACAGGTGGCATCCACATTTTATACGGTTCTGTTTGTCTATTTATTCAAAGTCGCCTATTGTTTACCAAGAATTGAGAGATTCTGGAACAATGCAGTTACCTAGTTCCAGAACTTTGAGATCCTACAGAAACAACTTTAAACCAGGAGCAGGGTACTTGCCTGAGAACATCAAGTCATTGATTTCCAGAACAAAGGGTTTCCTGGATAAAGACAGGTGGATTGTCGTCATGTTTGATGAGATGAAGATTAAATGTAATTTAGTGTTTGATAAACATTCTGGACGCCTGATTGGATTTGTGGATCTCGGTGATCCAGATATCAACTATTCAACCTTTGATAAAATTGAACCAGCTACCCATGTACTTGCTTTCTATGTCAGGGGAATAACCACTAAATTGCAGTTTATGCTTGGTTACTTTTTCACCCGAGATGTGGTCTCCTATCAATTAATGCCACTTTTTTGGCGTGGTGTTGCTATATTACAACTTAAAGCAAATTTGAATGTTATTTGTGCAGTCAGTGATGGGGCTTCACCAAACCGCAAATTTTATCAACTCCACATTTATATTGGTGAAAAACTTAACAACCAGAAAGTTGTGTATAAAACAAAAAACCTCTTTGCCCCGGGAAAGTGGATTTGGTTTTTTGCTGATGCTCCAAATCTATTAAAAACGGCTAGAAACTGCTTGCTTAATTCTGGTTCTGGTTTGAAATCAAGGTGCATGTGGAACAATGATAAATTTTTATTGTGGAACTATATATCAGATTTATATTATTCTGATCTGGAACTGGGGCTACACCAACTTCCTAAGCTAACAATTGAACATATCATGTTAACATCTTATTCAAAGATGAGAGTAAATCTTGCTGCCCAGGTAATTTCTACATTTGTTCATATTTTTAAAATAGTATAGATTTAAATCATACCAGGAAAGAAAGTGCCTTGGCTTCTTAACAATTCGTTTTCAAACTAATACGTCTCCTGTCCTCATGAACATCTTGTCTATATTTTCAAGGGCAAGTCACAAATGGTCGAAAACAACAATCCATTTTAGAAATAACAGATATATTTCTTCTCCAGTTTGTTCTCATGTTGTCAAAACAAGCAAGTTTACGTGCTAACGTGATTGGACAATCTTTGTTTCAAAACCGGAAGTGATCAATTAAAATTGTTAATCCAAATTCCAAAGTGAAATATGAGCATGAAATTGACAATGTTTATATTTCTAAACAACAAATGTTAATCCATACAGTTTTATATAATCATATTAAAGTATGTGGCTCAAGCAATAGTTCGTGATGACATTGCTTGCGAAGAAATATAATTATATAAAGTTGTATAAATCAGGATTGTAACTAAATGTTAGTAAACGTTGCTAAACGTTAGTAAATATGCAGTGTATTTTTTAAGGAATTCCTATGAGTACAATGAAAACCACTGCACTCACTGAATCATCAAATTTGATATGTTGATCATTACAGTATTACTGTACTTTGTTTCTAATTGCTTTGTTTTATTTTTCCATAACACAGATCCTTAGCAATAGGATGGCCCAAGCCCTTATCCGTAGCTATCCAGAAGGAGAAGCAAATGAAACAGCAAGATTTTGTAAATTAATGAATGACTTTTTCGACTGTTTAAATGTTCGTGCATACAATGAGGCTACCTGTAAACGGAATGTACTCCTGGGACCATATAGATCACAGGATGATAAAAGGTTTGAATAGTTAGTAAACACTTTCCTCCAGTACTTTCATGACTGGAAAAAAGCTGTCGAGACTCGTCCTGGAAATTTCCTACCAACAGCTGAAGCTAAGATGTTCATTTCGCAACAAACTTATGAAGGCCTTCAAATCACTGTGCATTCAACTGTCGAGACTGTCAAGTTCCTCCTTTCCCAAGGTGTTGATAGTGTTTTGACAGAACGCTTCCAGCAAGACCCGTTGGAAGAATATTTCGGAAATCAGAGACAAAGGGGCGGAAGGTCGGATAATCCCGATGCATCACAATTTGCATATAATGATATAATGATCGAGCCCTTGATGTCCAACGCAACATTGTGCCTATCAAAGCTGGTAACACTGGAAAACGCAGTGCAGAAAAGTCCAGGTGGAACGACATCATTGAGGAGCCTCTGGACAAAGCCAAAAAACAAAAAAAAGAAATAGCAATTGTGTGTTTATTCTTGGACTCCACTTTTTTCAGTATAATTGCACACAGTTTTAAAACCTAGTTATAAATAAGGTAGTTTTATGGTCGACAAAACTTTACCAAATAGAAGGATAAACATTATTCACACAATTTGATATATTTTGCCTGCCAAGATGCTTGGACATGATTTCAAGCTTTAACACACACAAGTTGTTGTATTAGATGTTTGCATAATTAGACTATACAGAATAAGTTGCTGGTGCATTTCAGGCCTGCAGGCAAATTGTCTCAAACCATGTAAACAAAGTTTACCTGTCTATAATCCAGAACGTATCTGGCACATCCCTAGTTATAACTATTCAGGATTGACCTCTGATTTCTGTTGTAGAGTTTTCCTTAAGGCCTTCTTGCTATTTGAACTGTTTTGTTTTCTATATTTATTAATTAAATCTCTCGAAAAGGAGAATGCTCGAATTTTTAAATATAAAAAGGTTATGTTCTCAAGGCAAACTTTCGAACAATCGTGAGATATCAAGTAAGGGCATTCTTGTATGATGTTGCTCCAAAGGCTCTTCACTTTTGGATTTTCTAGTATATTAGTCCGTAATTCTGAAATTGGAATAGGTTTTGTAACATCATGAGCAACAGTTTTATATCGAAATGTTTTCTCTATTTCAAACCCAATAGCAATTAAATCGTCACACGGAGTCCACAGTCCTCCTCTTGAAAGTGATAAAATATATTCATTGTCAGGTCGTTTCATTGATTGCAGCAGATCCTGAAGTTCTTCTTTATTTGTTAATGTACTTTCTAACATGGATTTCTTTCTAAATTTGCTTGTCCTGAACATTTTGGAAATGACTGATCCAATCAAGTAAGAAAGGGGACCATGTTCCCTTTCATTCACTTCAGGTATATCTTTAGTTTGTTCACTAGTTTGGCTCTTGCAAGTTGCCAAAACGAGTAACTCGGGTAAATGGATAAACAACAGATTCACAGCGATTCTAATTTGCTCGACTGACCACCGTTTATCAGTTGGTTGGTTGTCGACAAGTTTCTCAGGTTCTTTCGACAAGAGTTTGTATAGTTCACTTACCAAAGTATCTTGATTCGATTTCTTGATGAAACGTCCATGAAGTTTATCGAGAACGTCAACACAAAACGAAGATGGCTTTAGATTCTTACAAATAATAACGATTTCCTCCCCATATAAAATATCCTTGATTTTAGAGTTAGCTTTTTTAAACAAATCCTCTACAATCGCTTTTGAAATGGTTGGCTTGGTTGCAGTGCTAGCGCTGTTGTCATCTTTGCCATCATTTGTCTCAAGGAGCGTATGCTTTGATCGTATATGACGAGTGAGACCGCCTTTTGATTTGCATATTTTCGTACAATTTGGACACGGATGTTTTGGTGGTATTTCAATCTCCTGAACGGCATCTTCAACCTCTTTCTCGAAGTCCTTGTCCTCATTAAAATAGTCCAAGTGTTCATTTATCACATCAACTAACACATCAAGCTCTGCCTTTTCATTTTCTGCCGCTAAAGCTTCCCCACTTTCAAACATTTCTCCCATGGTTTGCATTCCTTCTTCGCCATATTGGTCACAACGCCGTAGTCGTTCGTGGTCATGTGACCACAAAATTGAATAACATAACATAATACCGGAAGTAAACGAGCTTCCAAACCATCTTGCTCCATTAACTATGGTGCTTCATAGTTATTATTCTGTAATACTTAATTACTTCAAAATATGTTAACAGTAGCAGAATTTAGATTTTAACCCCTGCGATTTGCTCGCAACTGTCGCAAGCAACGAATTATTTAGAGCACGTGAGTTTTTCTAATTCTATAAATATTCAACAAAAACATTACCTTCCAGTATCTGTTCGCATTCTTTGTCCACACTAGCAGTTTGTTTAAGTAACGAAGAAGTTTGTAGATCCATATTAAACTTTCAAATGGAAAAATTTAATAAAATTCAGCGAGCAAGTGAACACACAGCCGTTTGACTTCGAAGCAGATTTCGAAAGGACGCGCATCTTAATCCCAGAATCCTTTACGCGCTCTTTCGTGGGACCGCGCGACATGTCGCGCACATGACGCCGGTCATGATATATTTTAATTCTTCAGTTAAATAAGCTAAAGAAGCCAATTTTAATGATTTATTTATTCAATTTTAATAACATATTTGTTTAATTTGATTTTGTGTGAGCAGGCTAAATTTCCATATACCCTGGGATCGAAGTTGCCTCGTCCCCAGTTTTTCTAAAATCAAGTACAGCGCGGGTAAAAAAGGGGGGTTAGTTTGTTTTACTATAGAAAAAAAACACACACACAGGTGACAATAAGCAGTGCCGTTTTAAAATGTTAAAAATTGTCGCAGATGTCTCGTGCTGAATAAACCTTAATATGGTGAGTCAAGTTGCCCCAAATACTGTTCGGAAATGTTCCCTAGATGTGCTGTGTTCGTGGCACTCACTGTTCGGGTTCTTATGAACCATTACTACAGTAATAGACAATCCATAGACAATCCAATGTCTTTTGGATTTTGGATTGTCTATGCCACAGCGTACGCAGCAATATGAAGTAAACTTCTTCGTCCGCTGTGGAGTCGACGATTGCCCGGCAACATGTATCACTGCTCTTGACAAGCACGTATAAGAAGGAAAATGAAATGGATATAAAAAGTTGTTTGTTGTAAATAATAAAACTGTGTTGCAATTGCATGCATATGCATGGTTATAATTAAGATTTATTAAGTGTATGTACTCGGTTCAATACAATAATATTTTCTTATGTCAAGAAATAATTTTCTTGAAACAAGGATGTGAAAATTTTCTTATTTCAAGAATTTTTTTTCTTGGGAGAATAACAAGAAAATTTTCTTAATTAATAAGAAAATTCGTTTTAAGAAAAATTTCTTGTTTTGAGAAATTATTTTCTTAAAATAAGAAATTATTTTCTTATTTTAAGAACATTTTCTTATTTCAAGAATTTTTTTTCTTGGGAGAATAAGAAAAAAATTTTCTTAATAAGAAAATTCTTTTTAAGAAAAATTTCTTGTTTTGAGAAATTATTTTCTTAAAATAAGAAATTATTTTCTCATTTTAAGAAAATTTTCTTATTTCAAGAAAACTTTTTTCTTGGGAGAATAACAAGAAAATTTTCTTAATAAGAAAAAAAAATTCTTGATTTGAGAAAATATTTTCTTAAAATAAGAAAATATTTTCTCAATTTAAGAATTTTTTCTTAAGAAAATTTTCTTAATAAGAAAAATTTTCTGAAGAAAATTTTCTTATTAAGAAAATTTTCTTGTTATTCTCCCAAGAAAATATTTTCTTATATCAAGAAAATTTTCTTAAAACAAGTTTTTTTTTCTTAAAATAAGAAAATGATTTTTTTGCTGTGCATATCGTAGAAATAAGCTTGGTGACCTCAACTTTCTTGTCTGTTTTTATTATGAGGATATCATAAACTTCGCCCCTGGGAAGTTTCCGCCAATTCTCATTCCCAGAACAATATTGATGTATCACCTTGAATCTTATCTTTATAATGTCCTTTAGATGAGTGCAAAGATTTGATGTGGAGTAAATAAGTGTAAGGACTCGACAAATTCCACTAGGCATCCTTATTACTATTAGTGGCACTCATCAGATAATTCCTAGAGTATTTATGTACAAGTGGATGAAAGTTTTATTATATTACAAACCACGCAAAGCAATTATTTTGTTACTTGATAAAATTGACAGGACACGGAAGTATTAATAACGCATAACATAATACCAGGCTCTTAAGATTGCGCGGTATATTTAAAACAAAAATTTGTCTGTCTAACAAGAAAATAGTCAATTTTCTTGACGTTGCCCTAATTTATCAACCGGGAAATATCAACCATACGCCAAACGTAATAATATACCCCTTTACGTGCACAAGAAATCTAATCACCCACCTAACATCCTGCGCAATATCCCACTATCTTTCAACAAACGCCTAACTCAAATATCCTCCGATGAGGAATCATTTCAACGGTCATCGCAGCAATACCAGCAAGCACTTCAGAATAGTGGTTATAAACACCAATTAAAGTACAAGCACTCGCAAAATCATAGAACCACTCAAACCCGAAATCGAAGACGAAATATCATTTTCTACAATCCACCATTTAATAAAAATGTATCAACAAATATTGGAAAAACATTTTTGAATATCGTTGATGATGAATTCCCGACAGGCCACCCCTTAAACAAAATATTCAAACGCAACACTCTTAAAATAAGCTACAGTTGCATGCCCAATATCAGACAAACCATCGACGGACACAACAACACCAAACTGTCACAACCCGCCACAACGAGCGAAGAAAGCACATGCAACTGCAGAAAGAAAGAGGAGTGTCCAATGTCCAAAAAATGTTTGGTCGAGTCCATTGTATATCAAGCTAGAGTTTCTACCAACGACAACAGTCCACCTCAAACATACGTTGGTCATTACTGAAAGCTCTTTTAAAACTAGATATTACAACCACAAAACGTCGTTTACTTTGTACGAGGAAAGGAACTCCACTGAATCTAGTAAATATGTCTGGCAGTTAAAGCGCAAAGGAATTGAATTTCATATTAAATGGCAAACGTTGAAACGAGCCAAACCCTACAGCCCTGCTTCGATAAATCTCTGTCTGTGGGAAAAATACTTTATTATATGTGAACCTGAATTGGCTACTTTGAACAAACGCAAGAAGTTAGTGTCTTCATGCAGACATGCGAAAAAATTTCTTTTAGCTAACATTTAAAGGGCATGCACTCGAGACAGACAAATGTTTGTTTTAAATATACCGCGCAATCTTAATAGCTTGGTGTTATCACTGCAAAAAATCAATTTCTTGTTTTAAGAAAATATTACTTATTTTAAGCACAAAATTACTTGTTTTAAGAAAATTTTACTTGTCCCGTGGGTAAGTAAAATATTCTAGGTAAGAATCAGATTTCAAGAAAATTTTTCTTAAAATAAGAAAATTAATCTTGGTTAGAACAAAATTCTTGGTTAGAACAAAATTCTTGGTAAGAAAATTTTTCTAATTTTGTCCCGTGGGTAAGTAAAATTTTCTTATCCAGAATATTTTTCTTATTTCAAGAAAACGTTCTAGCAAAATTATCTTATTTCTAGAAAAAAATTCTTAGTTTCCAAGAATTATTTTCTAGTAATAAGAAAATTTTGCTAGAACGTTTTCTTGAAATAAGAAAAATAATCTTAATAAGATAATTTTACTTACCCATGGGACAAAATTAGAAAAATTGCCTTGAATTGAAATCCTGCTAAGAAAATTATTCTAGTTCGATCCGGTGTTCATGGCTTTTAAGAATATTTTTCTTAAATGACAATATTGAACTAGAATAATAATCTTGGCATGATTTTTTGCTGTTGTCCTCCTACAATATAAAAACAATTAAGAATGTTTAAAATAATATATTTACCAGCTATACATGAATAGGTTATTAAAGTAATTACTGATAGATAAATGTAAAAGTTCTCACACGTAGCAATATTGTTCAATTTCTTGAAAAGTCTTTACCATTGTCAGACTGCTGAGTCTGGATGAATGGATGGGTAGTCTTACGTCGAGCAGGTACAGTAGAACAACGCCAGGAAGTAAACGATGGCTTTTACGGTTTCGCTATTCTCGAATGTTGCCAGTAGCTCCACGTCATGATCAGCCCTGATACAGTATGTCAGTGGGCCTCATTTGTAGCCAGGTAGTCAAGTCTGTGTCTCCTTCCTTTTGAGGAAAAAAGCACAAATTAAAATAGTTTTGGTAACAACTACACACCCTCATGAATTAAAAGCTTATGTTTTCACTCACAAGCTATCCCCTGGGGTTATAGACATGCAGAGCGAAATACAATACACCCTTTTCATAAATGGCTGCCGATTAAAAATTCTTTTATGTGCATATAAGGTCATATAAATTGGCCTTAAGCCTGGTTCACATAAAATCGTTAAGCAGTCGCAGACATGTGCCGAATTTTTATATGAACGATCTGCGACGGATCGGGAAAGTTGAACCAAGTTCAACTTTCCCGATCCGTCGCCGATCCGGTCTCAGACAGTCTGCGCGAATCTGCATTTGTGTTCATATAAAAATTCGGCACATGTCTGCGACTGCTTAACGATTTTATGTGAACCAGGCTTAACTAGCCTCGTACTCATGTTAAGATTTCAAAGGAATTTTTATTCCCTTGAAATCTTAACATGAGTACGAGGCTAGTTGGGCCAATTTATATGCACATAAAAGATTTTTAATCGGCAGCCATTTATGAAAAGGATGTATGATGGATTGAACAAGAGACACTCAGTCGGCAGATGTTAGCCCATATTAACTTATCTCAACTATATAGGAAAGCTCAAAACTAAGAAGATGTATATGTACACTAAATTTGATTCAGGCCTTACTAAATGAATTTTATAAAATGAAACTATAACCTCACCTCAACAAAGTTTATTATGTCCAGTTTGCTCTTAGCAGGTTGGCTTTTTTATTTGAGGAGTGAATTAAATGTTCTTCATTACTGTAGGTGATCAGAAGTACTTTCTATAGAATTACATACATAAAAAATAATATTAATTAAGTTACATTTTTAATAAAAGCTTTGTGATATTTTG